GACTGATATAAATTTTAATGGAAAGCTGCAGAAAGTAAGAAATAGTAATAGTCATTGGAAAAAGGGTATTGAACCCACTAGGAAAAATCACTGTTGTGAAGTCAATATTGCTTCCTTTATTAATTTATTTTTTACAAAAATCTGGACAGTACAGACTCAATCAAACCGAGTCTGCAATTCTTATGTAATTTTGTTGTGATTAATGCTTCCGAGGGATCACTTTGTTTCCAGATTTTTATACTTCACAACAGCAGGTGTCAAGTGCTGTGTGGCAGCCGTAAAAAGTTGCCCCGTACTTCACTTCAGTGTTGTTATATTTTTCTGGTCCTTCGGGATCATTGATGCCAGCACTATAAAGTGTTGAGAATTGAGTACCGCTCAAGCCGGTGCTAGGGGGCGTGAGGGATGTTGCACTTATTCATTATCCCTCATGTACAGACTCAATCAAACCGAGTCTGCAATTCTTATGTAATTTTGTTGTGATTAATGCTTCCGAGGGATCACTTTGTTTCCAGATTTTTAAGTGATCCCTCGGAAGCATTAATCACAACAAAATAACATGAGAATTGCAGACTCGTTTGATTGAGCCTGTATATGAGGGATAATGAATACGTGCAACATTTCTCGCGCCCCTAGCACCGGCTTGAGCGGCCCTCAATTCCCAACACTTAATAGTCAACCTTTACACATAATACTGCTTTTTTGAAGACACTTAATGACTTATTTTATGATTTTATATGGGAAAGTAAGGCAAAAATAAAAACAATATGTTATCATTAAAAGATACAATGAAATAGATAAATACAGAATCCCTAAAGAAAGCCCAAACACGGCAAAAATGTTGCAGGCTCGGTTTGATTGAGCCTGTTCATGGACGGTACTGGAAAGTGCAAGTTACCGTCCACGCCCCCTAGCACCGGCTTAAGCAGAATTCAACATTTAAACATGAAATTGTAAAATTTTGAATTTAGAAACATCCGCAGATGTGTTCATACGGCGGTTATCATGGAACCTTCAATGCGACACTTCCGTGCCATTCCATGAAAAGCGGCGTATGGTCCCCAAGTAATAAAAAGCGTGTGCCCTAAACGAGAAAACAATGGGCGGAACTAAATAAAATGGAATTTTGAAAGGGGATCAGAGGTTATGAAGCCTGCGTATCACAGATTAGACGTCAAAAGACAAATTTAAAAAGCAGGCAACATATCCTAAGGGTGATTCAACATTATTCAAGTAGGAATATTGGAACCACCCAACTAGAAAATGCCGAAAAATTGAAACTAAAAATACCAAAAGCACAACAATAATGTCGTGCTGAACGATCTTCAAGGATCGAAAATATAACATCATTGATTAAATGTACGGGGAGACTTTTTACAGCCGCCACACGGCACAAATAACACGGATGTGATAATAAAATAGATAAATACAGAAGTTGGTCTTTACATGGTAGATATTAGTAGTTATGTTCATTCTTTAAAAAATATAATGGTTTAAAAGATGTTTTAGTAATTGTGATAGTAAATGTTCTTAGTTTGTGAACTTATCATTAAATATTGATAAAGTATTTAATTCTGGAAAAATGTTTGAATATAAATGAATAATAAGATTAAAAATGTTTTCCGGATTGATGTTTTAAAAGCTTATATGACGTTTGTTGATAAACTTTGTATAGATCGTTTCGCACAAATGTTACATATGCCACTGTTTTAAAACCCATGTTTTTCAATAGAATATAGATAAATCTTCATTAATCTTTTCATGATAAAGGAATCAGATTTGTGAAAGATATTCTTAATGAAAAGGGTGATTTTATTCAGTTAAACCTTTTAAATTAGTATGTAGGCAAACAAGTCATATTTTTAGAATATCGTGGTTTAAAACAGGCTATAAAATCATATATGCTAAAGCTAAATATTACCATTAATACTGATTTGCTAAATGTTCAATATCCTATTGCAAGCTGTTATATCAAACCTATTATTATTACAAATAGCAATGAGGAATACCTGTATGAAACTTTCGTTAGAAATACAGATGTACCAACAAGTAAGGAAAAATGGAACACATAACTTCATAGATGATAATATAAACTGGTCATTGATATATAGTTATGTATTCAAGTGCACCAAAGATTCATATATTCAGTGGTTTCAGACTATAATAATTCACAGAACTTTAGCAACAAACTCACTGCTGTTCAAAATTAAAATTATTGATAATAAAATGTGTACTTTCTGTAACTGTCAAGAAGAAACACTTAAACATTTATTTTGGGAATGTCATAAAATTCAGCCGCTATTTAAATATTTGTAGAGTTACATACATAATTTTGACAATATTTTTAAATGAATTTATTATTTGTGGTTTTAAAGATAAGGATTTCGAATATGACATATCGTTTTTAGAATTAAAAAAATACATATATTTGTCTAAGAGAAAAAATTTGTTACCCACATATATTGGCTTTAAAAATAGCCTTAAATCAGCTTGCACTATTCACAAAAATACCAATTTGACTGACACTGAAATTAAAAAATGGCAAATTGTAAGATTGTTACTTGAATAAATTACACTGACGTGATGTTTTCATTTGTTCTCGTTTAAATAAATAACTGGCATACATGTAAAAAAATAGTTGTATACCTCTATAGATATATGATAGAAATTAAGGTATTTTTATGATATTTTGTTTGTCAGTATTACAATGGGATATACATGTATAAATAATGTAAGGTATAAGGGGGATGACCCCGACCCTCTCATACCCATTACGGGATAATAATCGGGGTAACCCAGTAGGGGCCTCAAAATAAAAAAAAACAAAGTTATATTGTAAATGCAGTCAGTTTGTTGAAATAAAGAGACAAGAAATTTTTAAAATCGTATTCTCATGACTCCGAAATGGCAGTTCTCTTAACCATCATCAAACCACCATATTTCCTTCAAAAATGTTGTTCCATTGACTCGAAGACATTAGACTCTGTTGAATCTGTTGAAGATTTTTTTTAAATATGACAGCCCCTTTGTAGGAATGTAATCAATATCAAAGGAACCAAAGAAGACCATATTTTCTGCAGTTTATAGATATATTTACCTTAGTAATATTATGATAACATAATTTATCTTATACTGTTGTTTTGTAACTCCATAACCCGCCAAGTAAGTCAAATACTTATTTATAAGTCAACGTTTTAAAAACTACATTTAGATTTTTCATTTAAATTTATGTACATGTTAGGTTTCTTTAAACAAAATATTTTAAGAAACATACACATTGTCTTTAATTATGTTATTCTAGTTCTTATTGTACATGTTTACGTACTTGGAAAAGAACTTTCATACGATAAAATGTCTTTCCTTTTAATCCATTTCCACATTGTAAAAAGTATAATTCATTGCGTATTTACTGGAAAATATACTTTGAAATGTGCCAGGGCGTCAGTTTTTAAGCGTTAAGCAATTCATCCATCATATATTGATGTATATTACAAAACATATTCCGGTGAACGTGTTAATGAAAACGTTTTAATAGGGAAACGTACGCAATATTTCAAGATTTACATATTTTGATAGATATCAACTCATAACAAAACTTTGTTTGATCATATTTTTAATGATCTAGCTGAGTTCTGTCTTGAAAATTACTTTATCACTGCCTTGTTACGATAAGTTATTCAGTTCCCATTATTCTTTGTTAAATACTGCATTAAAATGAGTTTAATTCTGCTTTTTGAGTCTCATTATTAAGCATCGGATTTATGGTCGCTGATTCATTCCTCTGGAAATTTCAATCCGTGATAATTGGTCTCCGTAACTGAATCAAATGGTCATTTAGCTCTCGCCGCTGGCTCAGATATTATGTGAGATAAATAGATGGCCATTTGCAGAGGGTTGCTAATAATCGGTTAGTTTCAAGGAAATACGGTTAAGTGGAGTTATGACAAAGAATGGTTAGAGTTCGGCGGACATGAGCTAAAAAGAATAGCATGAAAAAACAAAATGCTTATAACAATGTCATCATATAGAACTACGTCAGTGTACAGATAAAGTCAATGTGAAATGAATTACTACACTATGTTCAGATTGCCGATTTATGTAAGGCAAAATGTAAAATCAAAATTAACAGTGATTAAGTCTACCCTTTTACGCACGGCGACCATGTTTAATTCTATAATCCTAGTATGGATCGCACATGAATATTATCATAAGTAAAAACAACAATTATAAGAAAAAATAATTAAAACTTTAATTTAAACTTTTAAATAAAACCATAAGAAGACAAACTAAAATAAGTAAAATAATAATCTTCGAACGATTTTTCATTAAATTTAATTTTCATATACCAAAAAAACTCAGAGTTATTGTAAAAATGAAAGATTTTCCATGGCATATATTCATATGCTCAGGATGACAAAAAAGTGGTTTTGAATTCAGTTGTGATCCAGGTTGTATAATGACATGATCAAGCAAAGCACGATGCTACAATTTCAATTAATAAGACAACAAGGTGACAAATATAAAACTTAAACATGCAATCATAATAATAAAAATGATGTCACAACATAAAAACGATTTTTTCACTCTAGTTAAAAGATGTTTTTGTACGGAAACTTGAGCTGTTTTTCTAATTTTATATTTTTGGTAGTTTATTCCAAACGGAGCAACCATTGTAGAAAAAGGAGTTTTTCCAAACCCTTCAATTCTAGGAATTCTAAATGCAATACCCTTTACTAAACCTGGTATTATGATTGTGTGAATACTGACTTTAGTGAAATGTTCATCCGTGTAAAAGGGGACATAATCTGTATGTACATATAACAGAAACAAACACAAAACATGATCATGAGTGATTTGCTCGACTCTACTTGAAACAGGTAAACATCCTCAGTGCTGAAAAAGCTCTACGTTAATATGACTTCTTAATGTGTTTCATATGTAGATCAAAACTTTCATATGTAGATCAAAAGATGAGAGACTGAGTAAAGATAAATGTGTACCTGCAAATCGAATATCTACGGATGTTTGCGTTAATAGTTGATCTTCTGCACCAGTGTCTGATATAGCACCACACTGAAACTTCACAGTGGTATCTGTATTGTCAGTAAACACTGTGTATCTTGGTAATGTTAACGTTGACGTATATATTTTCTCAGAGTCAGTACAATCACCAGTTCTATTAGTCACAGGTGCTGTTGTTGACCATTCTTGACGTGATCCACTAGTCTATAAGTGTAACATGCATTAAAATACAAAAATAAAAAACAATTATCTTTAACACCAATATCAATCATCAGTTGATTTACGAAGTTTGTTTTAAATACGTAGATAAACGATATATCGGCACAAGCTCCATTTTTCTTTGACACAGGTGCTATTGTTGGTCATTCTTAACACGACCATGACTCTGTAAATTTAATATGACATCTTATTTATTCTTTGATAACATGCTGAACATTAAAAGTTTTAAATAAATACACACACACACATCCAGTCAGTCTTAAAATGGTGATGTTTTAACCATCTGCAAGTAAACGCCCATACTGTTTCTTATAGCATTATATTTATATTTATAATTATATAATATATATAATATTATATATATATAATAGATATCAACCTACCTTAATATAATACCATCTAAAGTTTGGTGAAGGATAGACACATCCTGTGCTACATTTAAGGGTTACTGAATTTTGAACTAAGTCTTGAGCCTGGTTTGGTGGATGATCGTACTGAAGCGATGGAGTAATTGCTGTAATGGAATCGATGCAACAAGTTCCTTAAAAGAGATATATTTGAGAGCTTAACGGGTAAAATATGTCAGGAAAAAATCTTTTTTAAAACCATGTAGAAAGTCATATATAATTGAAAAAACCATGCATAGAGTAAACATTCTATTAAAAGGAGTACTATTCTTTTTTATGAAATCGTTTGTTTACCTTATTATATAATTATAATGTATTTACCTTACAAAATGTCACAAATGAACTTCAAGCATTTGGACTGTGTAATTTTCCAATTTTAATCATTATTGGATCTATTTATTTTTGGTTTTTCACACCCAAAAGTTCATATCAAATCCGTTTTACACAATCTAGCCGCGTTTTCAATTTCCTTGTACATTTAATATTGATTCCATATTACAATCTAGGTAACTCTAAATTCAATATCATAAGAAAACTTCTGGTTTTGAATGTTTTCTTTAATTAAATATGTTTACTTCTTATAATTGGTTGTGTGAAATGAAGATGTCATTGTACATTGCTAACTGCTATTTGACGATTGTAAATATGTAAGATCTATATTGGACGAGACAGCCGAGTCTAATATAGGTTAAGGAATTATGTACGAGTTCAACATTCATTTGGTAGAAATTTCATATGACTTGAAACATTAAAGATTCATGTATATCTTCTGGTAGTTAACTAAATGACCTAAATTAAGTTGAGCTGAATTGAATTTATGCTTCAAAAGACCGACTGTTAACATGGTGTTTGCCCAACAGTTGATATTGGATTTTTTAAAAATGAAATGATAAATCTGCTTAAGATATAAAAGACAGCCCCATTCTTTTTATAAAATGACTGTTGCAACGCTTTTCACTGAGATCAAGCGAAAGATGGGCACAAATATTTTAAACTTATTTTCGAGTATTTTCTTTTTTTGTTTTTCTTTTTTTGTTTTGGGTTTTACGTCACACCGACACAGTATAGATCATTTGGCGACGTTCCAGCTTTGGTGGAGGAAGACCTCAGGTGCCCTTCCGTGCATTATTTCAGGAAAGAACGGGCATCTAAGTAGAACCACCGACGTTCCGTAAGCTAGCTGAATAGCTTCCTCACATAAAAGAATCCAAAGTGCCTGTTTGGACTCGAATCCACTGCGGTGAGGGGACAAGTGGTTTGAAGTCAACGATCTTAACCACTCGGCCACGGACGATCGAGTATAATACTTAATTATCTGTCGTATATTTTTTGTTATAAGTGCCCCATATATTCTATGTAAGCATTTTAAATTTTATATTTAAGACTGTTGAACCTCAACGAAGTTTCTGAAGTTCCCTTTAAAAGAAATTATTTTGCTTAAAAGGAGTTAAGATTGTTTCTATCGCACGCTCATATTGAACGACTTCGTCATTCGCAACGTGTATAATTAATTGTGAAGTTACATCATTTGTTATCAATAATAATATATTTAAATAAAATATTGTTGCTAACGAGGTTTCTGTTGACATTTAGGCAACGTGATAATTGAACAAAACATACTTTTTACCACTTTTCATAATTATATTACAATATGGTAACAGAAATATTTTAAGCGACAATTGTAAAAGATAATGTGAGCAAATTTGATATGTTTTCTTCCTACATTTGACATAATAAATCTTACATGGAGAGTATTCAAGGAAGTCGTTTTGCTATCAGAAAACAACATATTCATAGTATCGTATAATCCTTAATCGATCATATATATCTATTCAGCTCAAATTTCAAATTGAGTAATGCAAATCTGCGCTTGTCTATCTTACTGAAAAACATTCTTGCGCTTTTTGAGGAATATTTGTCTTTACTTATGTAAAATCAAAGTGACGGAATCTACTGTAGTATATATAATTTTGGGTAATTATAAGCGAATGGAAAATATATGTATGTATATGTTTGCATCAAATGATTATTTTTAACCGATTCTTCAACGATAAACATACTGTATACAGTAAGCTCCATGTATTTTCTTTGGTAGTTGATGGCACATGTCCAATATTTCTGGTCTTCTGACCTATTGAGATTGGTGACTGTTATAGTGACACCCCTGCTGCTTGTGCTGAATGTATGTCTTGGTACAGTTCCTAAACACTGTGATGGGTTACACGCTACTAATGATGGAGCAGTATTAATATCTGCTGGAGGAATGGAGTCTGTCTTATAGACCCTGACAATACCACCGATGGTGAACTGTGACACCTCACATACAAGCTGTATATCATCTCCTTTCACAGGGACCTTGTTGTCCCTGGTAAATATTTGTTCGACAGTATCTATATTCCAAAAAGTAGAGAAAAAAGAGATGAAAACTAGTTTTATGGTTCCAAAAGATTTTAAAACCTGCTTACAAATTAAAGTTTAATCTATTTCTTAAAATAATGATATCAAATCACTAGATTTATTTAACAATCTAAAACATGGCTTTCAAAGGTCACATGCATGGCAGTCTATGTTGCACATTATACTCAAAATACCGAATCCATCAAACCTGTGTGCGTTTCTCTTCCGTGCCTCTATTCTATAGAATCAACTAAGAAATATTGTTCTAAATGAATGTTAATCGAAGAGAGCTATATCAAAACAATGAAATATTCTCTATACGTAGATGAAAAATTTACATCTACACTCAATCTGAACAAATATCGTATCTGTGTTACCGTGACTTACACTTCTGGTGCTTTCCAAAGTCATATTTTAGGTACACAATTTCTCTAATTTACAGAATAATGAGCAGTTTAGATAATGAGCAGTTTAGAATGAAAAGATAATTTAAATCAGCTAATGAAAATGTTATGTTTAGCATGAGCAATCATCAAAGCTGAGATAAATAATGTCATCGTCACAGATTAAGTCACTGTCGCGGATCCTTGTTAAAGTGGTAATGCGACGTACAGGGTTGCCTGGAAGTGCAAGTTCAATATCCTGTTCCGGCACTATTGAAACTTTAAAACTGAAGTTCCATGAGTTGGTGGTCTGCGTCAGACATGTTAAGAAATCTGGAACTGGACCATTACTGTAGTAAGCACTGTCTTGAAATTAGCAACTTTTTCAAGATACGTGAAACATGGGCAACAGCAGACGACTATAAAAAGTATGTGGACATTATTCTAGTTATTTTAGATGAGTCGTCATTCAACTGATTGGATTTGATACAAGAAACATTTAAAACATTATATATTATAATGATTATAGGGCTAAATTTATGATAGAATTATTTCCATCTAATTTTATTTCGATAGTTTTGATGATAACACAGACAGATACTAAAATCGGTGGCAAATAAGATACAAGGAATTTTCAAAAAATAATGTCATTTGTGCATTATCTCTTGAATATCGTGTACTATGTACTATAAACCACTTCGGACCGATAGAATATTCATAAAACACGGGTGAAAATATCGTTCAAAATCTCACTGACCTTGATACAGTGTACATTGATTAATAGCGTATTTATTACACTGTACATGCAAATGACTGGTAGAAGAGCTAAAGATGTGCTTGAAATTAGGGTTTATATGAAAGTTCGGACATTGCTCGGCTAAAAGCCTGTAAGGGAAGGGTTTAATTTCTTACAGATCTAAATTTTTAGGGGGTTTCTTAATTTTAAAAAAGTTTTGCCCTAATTTTAAAAGATCTTTCCCTTCCCCCGGTCGTCATACAAAAAACAAACAGCGAATGCAATGTTAGCAAAATGGGCCCAAAAAACAATGAGTATTTAACATTGGTTTTAAAAACCCTTTTTTAAACACGAGGGTTTATGGGATTCCCCCTTCTTCCAAAACGAACAAAAAAAAATCTTGTTACAATCCCCCAAAAAAAAGGGTTTTCCAATTGTGTCCCAAATATAACAAAAAGGCATTCCACAAATAAGTTACAGGTGATGAGACATGAGTTTACAATTTTGAGCCAAAGCGGAAATGTTAAAATAAAATTTGGGCCACTAAAATTGCAAAACACTCAAGTATTGCCAAGCGACGCACTGTTAAGAAAAATTTGTATGTGATTTTTGTGTCGCCTCAACGGAATAGTGGCGACATATAGGGATCACTTCTCTATCGTCTGTCTGTCCGTCTGTCCGTCCGTCACTATAACTTATCCGGACTACTCCTCATAAACTACTGGTGCATTCATTCACGCTTTACAGGAATAATCAGTACCAAGTCTAGTTGTGCATATCATCAGCATTTCCCTTTCAATGATTTGTGTCCGAGTAATGGTCTAAATAAAATTTTTTTAAAGTCTGTCCGGACTACTCCTCTTATCGCTCTGATGCAATTTCAATGAAGCTTTCCAGGATTGATCTGTGGCTCAAGTCCTTGTGCATATGGCATGGGTTTTCCGGTTGAAAGATTTTTGGCCGAGTTATGACCCTTTAATAAAAAGGTGCTGTTTCTGTGTTTTGCAAGATACACAAAAACTTGTCCGATCTACTTCTCAAAAACCACTGGTGCATTTTCATCTAAACTTTACAGGAATGATTAGTTTCACATCTAGTTTTGTATATTTTCGACTTTATGGTTCAATGAATTTTGTCAGAGTTATGGCCTTTTAATTATCTAATTTTTTTAAGTTTGTTCAAACTACTCCTTATATACCACTAAAGCAATTTCAATAAAACTTTACATGATTGATTGGTAGGTCAAGCACTTGCGCATATTACACGGGCTTTCAACTTGAATGATTTAAGCCTAGTTATGGCCCTTGAAATAATAAAGTTTTTCTGGACTAGTCCTCATATACCATTAATGCAATTTCAATGAAACTTTACAGGATTAATTGGTATGTCAATACTTGTGTATAATAAACAAGTTTTTCGCTTGAATGGTTTTTGGCTGAGTTATTTGTCCTTGAAAAAAACAGGTGTCTTTTTGTGTTGCCAGCTACACAGAATTTTGTCTGGACTACTCCTCATAAAATGCTGGTGCAATTTTATCAAAACTTTAGGAGAATGATCAATATCATTCTTATTTGTGCATTTCATCAACATTTTATGGTTCATTGATTTTTAACATAAAACAAAATATTTTCTTTAAAAGACAACTTCCTGCTGGTTTTAAAGATGATGATGAGATAAAACAGATAATGGAATATATCAATCGAATAAGGCAAAATGCCAAATGTAAGGAATACTACAAGTTATGTACGTTTGTCCGGTGTTGTTAAAAATGGTTATTAATTTTCAGACTTTTCTGAGTGTAAGTTTGAATAAACACAAATACTGTTTGTGTATAATAATGTAAGAGAAACGTAACAATTTATGTGTACAAGAAATTTTACAAACATCGACTGAAATGGTAAAGCAGGTCATATTGAAATAAACATAAAGGTAAGTTTGAACTTAAAAAGTAATTGTCTAGATGGTGAATTTGGTAGAGTCGTCGAGATAACAACAAAGGAAACATTGCCACGGGTTCGAGGACTACAATTTTTCTTTTTTTTCTCTTTTATTCTCTCTCTCTCTTTCTTGCTGTTGTATTCTTAAAATAAGATGAAAACATAGGTTTGATATATTGTGTACCTTTTACGCTTTATATGTATATAAAATATACCGATAATACGGTTAAATAGCGAAAGGATCAATCGAAATTTCTTATATTACGACGAAATGTCTAAACAATTCTTAATCATGTAATAAGGGTAATGCTATAAATTCATTTAATTATCAGTCCTAAAATGAGAAATAAGAAAATAAAAACGATATGAAACATGCATAATATATACAAAAATAAAACAGTTTTAAAATCCATGCACGGAAAAAAAAAATGTCGAACGACACATATGCCCCTCTTCCAAGACCTTGACTCACATTATTGGTAATTTTGTTATAGAAACTTGCCATAAATTGGTACATGGAAGTGTTCAGTTATGGAAAAAAAGAAAATAATGAAGACTTTATGATAAATAGTTGTAAAGATAATGAGACATTTAAGGTCACCGTGACCTAGACCTTTAAACTAGTGACCAAAAAGAATAATAGTTATGACCAATCAAGTTTAGAAATATGAAGACTTTGTGATAAATAGCTTTCAAAATAATGAGCGGAAAACATACTGACATTAAAGAACCATGTCACCGTGACCTTTGACCTAGTGACCCTAAAATCAATAGCTGAAAATTTATATTTCTGATCTATCAGTATGTAAAATATGAAGCTTTTGTGATAGTTTTCAAGATAATAAGCGGACACAATTCTTACATTTAAGGCCCATGTGACCTTGACCTTTGATCTAGTGACCCCAAAAGCAATACGAATCATCTGTTGGTTATGCTCACAATGTGAAATATAAAGACTTTGTGATAATTATCGTTCAAGATAAGCTAAAATAATACTACCATTCAAAGACGCTGTGACCTTGACCTTTGACCTGGTGACCCCAAAATCAATTTGGGTTATTTTCTAGTTATGACCAATCACTATGTGAAATATGAAGATTTTGTGATAGATAATCAGCGGAAACCATGTGGTCTACCGACAGACAGACCTACCGACATTATACAAGACAATATACCCCCTTTTCTTCGAAGGGGGGCATAAGAAAAAAATACATTTTTTTAAGTTTATGATGTATTTTGTGAAACTTAAACAGACCGGAAAATCTTCCTTTAGCCTGATAACATCCATACGTACGAAGCCCATTGAGGCCGTTTTGAGTAAGAAGTTAGAACTAAGATGTTAGATCTTAGAACTTTGATCTAAGAACTGAGGGCTTAACTCATAGAACTTAGAGGTTCTGTAAAAGCGGTAAAACGCCATATTAACTGCAAGATAGACAAGGAGATGTAAGTGAAATAAACTTTTTATAATATTTTTTAATTTTATTGTTCAATTTGAAGAGTTTCAGAGATATAGCTAATGCGTTTAAAGATTAATTAATTATCTCTTATATATTAGGACCGGGTAAAAAACAACCAATTTCAATAGGAGGCAATGGGCGACCGAGCTATCATCAACAGGCTTTAACTAACTCCGTTAATGGTTATTTTAGTTCTAGCTATTTAAGCCGAATCGTAGAGGGACTGTAGCGTCGAAACTGATGTGTTGCCTGTATCAATTTGTGTTATTCCCTAATTATCAAATGTGGTACATCTTTTTAAAATATTGTTTCTGTTAGTTTTAAAATAATTAAACATGTCAGTTTTCGTATGTGTATTGAAATAAATTGATTAATATTTATATTGCAATATCTTCTTTATCTCTTTCCGGACGTTGGTCACTAACTGAGCATGGAGGTTTTTAAATTTGACCGTTTGTTATTACACCAGTAAAAGGT